CATAGGTTATGATTACCGACGCATAACCATGTTCGTTTCCAATGAAATTATTCAGGGATCAACCCCTGAAACACAAAAAATAACAAATTAAAACAATTCTATAGAGTCAGAACTTCACCACTATTTTATGGCCACCATCTTGCTGCAAACCATTTCTGTAGAGTTAATCTATTCATTTGGTGAAGTGTGCACAAATTAAGGTACTCTCTTAAGAAATCACAAGGAAAGAAAATATGAGTTGCTAAACTTTAAGAGAACAGCCTGGTGGAGGAAGAGGTGGCCAAAACCATGAAGCTCAAATTCAGACAGAAAGTGAGTCCAAATTGACAATCAAGCAATATATAATCAATCTGTACAGAACCACACAATTGTACAAAGGCACAAATTTCATTTATTTTATTTTATTCAATTATATGAAATATAATCATTTTCTCAATATTTTGTTTAATTTAATCAATCATCAAATTTCAGTGATCCAACCTCATACAGTCCACACCAATTTTCACAATCACCAGCGCACACAATTCACTTACAGATCATTGGGTAATATTTGGCTCACACAAAATTACCGTGATCGAACAGAAATAATAATAAGTTGTCATATTATATAGTTTAAAAATATCTAATAAAAAATTTCAGAATTAAGTTTGTCAGAGAGGGAAATAAAAAATAAAACAGAAATTGTAAAGAAGCAATTTTTCTTTACATCGAAATTAAAATATATAAGTTAAAAAAATAAGATAAAATTACATTACTCCTAAAAAGTACAGATTAAATCAAATAACTTTTTAGAAATATATGCAGTTATAATTAATTTCAAATTGTTGTTGTACGGAAGCGGAACTGATCTGAGTAATGTATTATTCAATAGGTACTTTCGAATTAATTTATTATAATAATTTTTAATTATTATATGATGCGGTGTGCCGAAAGGACACCATACTGAGACCCATGACGCCTCCTCATTCGTGAATCCCGTACTGGACGTTATAAGTTGCGGGAGTGCCGATGACAGATACACAGATATATATTGTGAAGATCCACCTGTGTAGAGATTGCGGCCACCTGCCCTCTGTTCCCACGCTCCGTTCCCACGGGCACACACCTGTTCCCCCAATCTGTCTGCTCCCGTCACCTCTGCCGGGTAAACAGTGGCGGCTGTCGGCCGTTAGCGCGGCTCGCGAGGTCGACTGCCCACAATGGTGCGGCATGGTGCCCGCCGGGTGGCTTGCTGGAATGTCGTGATGGATATCCTTAATTAGAAAAAGAAATTGAGCGTAATAATTAATATAGAGAATTGCTTCAAAGTCTCGATTCGATTAAGAAATCTGCAGTTGGATTAGATTATTGTATTATCAGAAAAATTTAAGATTTTGTTATATTGGGTTGAAATTTGATTAACCTAACAAACCACTTACTGACTTTATTCTTCCCTAACCCTTTCTCTAAGGAACCTTTTATTTTATTTTATTTTTATGTTTTTATTCAGTTTACATGAAATTCTCAAAACGTAGACTGTAATAAACTGAAAAAGTTGATAAACAATTTCTGCTACCGTTTGCTTATAAAGCATAAGGAATATTTATATTTTACCACGATATAATAAAGAAAAGTATGCTTAATATAAAGAGAAAAAAAAACAAGCTTGTCGTTGACTTTTATAATTGGTAACGTCTTTACATTTATGATGTCTCTTTCAATTATATTTAAGCTACAAAAACTTATTACAATTTCTTCATTTATCCTAAGGGAGATACTTATTTTCTAGGTATATAAGTAAGAATATTTTTTTTCTAGTGATTTATTCTCCCATTTATTCCACTCAATTACATCATTACATCATAACGTTTCGGGATCCACTTATATCCCATCTTCAGACAGTATCTAGATAGACTTGCTTAACGTTTAATTTTCAGTATCAGACTAGACTCCCAAGAGGAGACTAAAATAGGATTTCCAGCAATAGAACAAAAATAAAACAATTTTATTAACATGACAAGGATCCCGAAACGTGATGATGTATTTGTATGTATTTATGATGTAATTGAGTGGAATAAACAGGATAATAAATCACTGAAAAAAATATTCTTACTTATTACAATAGCTCCTTACTTTCGAAGAAAATCTTCTCATTCAATAAAAAAGAATTTTTTTTTTAAATAAGTTATATGCCCTTCAATGACATATACCTGTCCGGGTATGGAGTTACACTTGTGATTCAGAATAAAAAATAAATTGAAAGGGTACAAAATCCGTGTGTGATAATCATAAAGGATTATCCCAACACAATAATAACCAAAATGTTAAATGATTTGGAATCTCAATACTTCCAGACCGAGAAATTTTCAACTCAACAAACACTTCAGTAAATCCCATAATTAGAATAATAAGCAAAATTTAAGAAGTTACAAAAATAGACGTATAAAACATATTTTACTTGAATAAAAACAATGTTACATACGATATTCATAGAGTAATTAATTTAATTTAGATGAATTAACATGTTTTTATTTAAATGTATTTAGTTTTTAGTATTCTTTATTTTATTTATATACCAATTTTTATTTACATTTTTCACTTCTCGGCTTTTGCAGGATAAATTCACCTACCCGGACCGAGGTCAAGTATGGGTATTTAATTTGAAATATTTAAAAATTTCCTAGCAATGCTGATGGTTCCCAGTATTTCCCAGCTCATTCCCAATATCTTCAAGTATCCTCTGGAATCAAGCCATTGCTGGATACTATAATGGGTAACCTTTACATCCATCCACCAGTGGATGGATTATTTACATTATTATTATTTTTTTTTTTATTTGTTCCACACATTACATGGCTGGTTGCAAATAAAGTAAATATAATATTCATGTATTTTCAAAATTATATTTGTAAATTTACGAACAATACTTTCCGTTCCCAACAATAATGCCATTTTCATTTTTTCCATTGTCACAAACGGCAAGTCCAGCTCACGCAAAGAATATACAATACTTATTATTATTTGTTTACTTTATTTTCTATGTAGGTTTTTTATTATCTTTTCCTACTGACAAACAAACAAAGGAGTGGTAATTAAGTTAATAATTTTATGATTATCTTTAGTGTAAAATGTTGTACACCAAAACACGACCGATTTTTATGCAAAATATATTTTTGTAAATTGTAAATCTCATTTAAATACTCATATTATTATTATTATTGATTATTACACTTGGATATCTTCAAAAAACTTAGAAATCAAGTTTGATCAATTTGTTCGGTGTTCAATGAGGGCAGAGAAAGCAGCCGACGCATAGCAGATTTGGCCTTCACAAAAGCCTTGTGAGACTATCACCCACAAATAGACATTACCTGCACGGAACTGACCATGCCTGCCAATTTGACCATCTTTGATTCATCGTCAATCTCTTCTGATTGCTTCCTCGGGCACGAGATGTTAGCGCGCTTCTGAATTTCGAATTAAATTATACCTCAAATGATATTCCACGAGCTACCAAAGGACTGCGGGTCGGTATTTGATTGTATCTTTTGAAATATTAATTGATGCGTTACTAGTATTATCCTCACATCAGACCTAGCTGATGTTTAACATATTTTACCAGTAGGATTAATAATGGGAGGACATCATCTGACTATTTACCATTACTTTTTTCAAAACCTTTTCTTTTAATGAATAATAAAATGAATGACCTTTATTAAACATCACATGACATTATCGTTTCTTCAATAATTGCTTACAGGAACATGATGTAACTAATCTGCAAGCCTGACTCAGAATAATATTCCATTCTTGTTTGACTGTTTGGTCCCATTTCTGTAGGATTAACGTTAGCTTCTGAATATATTTAATATTTGCTACAAAGTTTATTATTATTATTATTATTATTATTATTATAACTGAAGTAAAAATTGAAAATTAGGTAAAAACTAAATACCCAGGCGTACCTCTTTAAATCAATTATCATAAGTCTTAAGTTTCACAGATTTAAGGTTCAGCGAAAAAAGACGCACTTACAAGAACTAAAATCTTCTCAATCAAAAATATTAAGACTAATATTAGCAGATCTCCGGTATGTAAACAACAAATTTTTACATAGCTTGCGATAACCATCTATCGACCAGCACATACGTACATTTTACTCTGGATTTCATATTAAACTACACGAATATAACAACAGACTTATAAATGACATGGTGACGGTTGTCATGTTTATTAGTAGGTGACTAGGAGATGGTGCCTAAGCGAAAAGCAGCTGAATGAGAGATATTCATTCCTGTGGGTGCTATCCTATCTCATGACACCAATCGTTCTATTCAACACAATAAATCTAATGATTGTCATAATCATGACAGACACGAATAAATATTTTAAGAAAAACAACTGATAATGATACATTAAACAAGATTTTATTATTTATTCCAGTTATTTGACTTATTCAAGTTTTTATTTAATAGGCGACGCTGCGATAGACCAAGAATACCCTGAAAAGACCGAGTAGCCATTGGATTCATTACAAGAAACTGAATGGCGTTAACCAAACCTCAAAATGTAATATCATTGGATTCCACTGTATGATGAAGAAAAATCGACGTTTATCTTATTGAAATATTTTTGACTTGAGTCAGATATAAAGTTTGGCATGTACTGAATTAGATATATTAATATTGATTACAAAAGAAAAGAATTAAAAAATAACCTGGGACATCCTGATTCCCTTTAAAAACATTTAACAAACCAATAGGCACTTGATGAATGGTGGACATCCCCTTACTCAGGTTTCCCTCCGTGAAATATCCCCTCATGTAATTACCCTTGTCTCCAGAAGTCAATGGGGTCTATTACAATAGCACCTGTTATCATGAGCGTGAATTAGCCGAGGGGAAGTTGGGGCACGTGCCCCCCAAGTGGGGTGTCGTGAGTCAGGAAGTGGGGAAGTGCGGAAGTAGGGGTGAGCAATGAGCTATTAACTCGTTCGGGGGTCTGTCCCCTCAACACGTGTAATGTCCTCCCCTCGCTATGATAGCGTATCAATCGCCATTATCTCTCTCCCCATAGCTCACCTGTTCGGTCGTCGAGCTGTTCGCAGCACAGTCGCCTGTCAGCTCTTTTGTCCTCGGGTCATTGTACCACGCTTAGTCGAGATGAAGATGGCTCCAGTCGGAAATGAAGATGGTACAAATCGGTGGACCAGTATAACAAAGGTAACATTCCTTGTTACCCGTTTTGTGTATCAGTCAGGCACTGAATACCTTGAAGTCGTGTGAATAGGAGAATTAAGGCTTATCGAATCATTTCCTCATGGTGTTTTCAATAAAGCAGTTTTTAGAGAATAATTATAATTAAAATAGTTGGAAACTTATCATTATAACGCCTAGAGAGCTCCTCAAAAATAAAAAGAATATACAGTCGGTTTATTGCAGAAAGTCACAAACATAAGTGGAATTTTGATGGAGGTGAACCTTTTTGTGAAAATTGACTTTATTCATCGAACAAAAACACAGTAAGTTAACTTAAATGGCACAAACTCTTTTATATGTCTAATATATTTACAAAAAGATACAATTTTCTGGTATAACAAAGGGAAAATTCATCTAAGTTCTTAGTGATTTAAGGCTGAGAAATGTCACTTAATGACTTTGTGAAATAAACCAACGATAAAAAACGCTTGAAAGCAGTCTTATTTCTAACAGAACTCTCATTCATTCAGATTTCACATTCATCTTTGTTTAGACCTTAATAAATGCCGTTAACAAGTTCAATTATTATTTCTGCTAGACCTAGAGATTTATTGGTCGTGGGTGGTAGTATATCACCCAAGTATATCTACCAACAATAAGTATAACTCTTAAATATGAGAGTAGTAATAGCACCTCCAGAAGTAATTTAGGGTTAAAAAAAGTTGAGTGGAAATCTGGTTATAATGGTTGACTTAGCAATTAGATAGATCTCGTTGTTTAAGTAAAGGTTAAAACTCTTCTGTTTCAGGTAGAATTTCATTTTGAATTCAATGTTTGAAACTGTTTGGATCTCCAAAATCTTTAGTAATGATATGTAAAAAGGAGTGTCCAATATTTTTCCCACTTTTGACTGAAGTGATTACATTATTTTGGAGAGCCCCATAGCTATATGCCGCTATTTTCATAAAGTTTATTAAACGCTTTGGATTGCCAATTTAAAAATTCCTTATTGTTATTTTAAGTATTAGTTCAACGCCATATTTGTCTCACCGTAATAAATAGTTTTGAAGAATGGCTATCATGGTGCTATTTTGAATCACCTAGGTGTTCCAGAAAATATGGCACTACGCAACGATGAAAATACAATAAATGCAGTAATCAAATTTCTATTATATTCTAAATTAAGATTTAATAATACAGTATTGTATTAAATTGTTTGTTGTTATTTATTTGTTTTCTCTCACGTTATAAAACGCTATCAAGCAAAGATAAAAACCCGAGCGACCGATGCAACGCTTTGGAGCGCATGGCCTATGAGCGTCCAGTATATAAACAGAAAAAAAAATGCTAAATGACCTTTTTTTAATATTGTTTATTTATTTACAATTAACCTGCATTTATTTATATATTCAGAGGAACGCACTGAAGTTATATTGGTTCAGCTATAGTTATGGCTACTGGCTACACTCAATTTTCACCTAGATTCATTCCCATAAACCAATGGATCAACGCCTACTTTCTCCCTCGAAAACAGATAATGTAGTTTCACGGTCAGTATTTCCGTGAACTACGTGAGCTAACTGCGACGAAGCGGCAGGACGTCGCTTTTCAGACACGGTCACGTAAATGGCGACACGTACGTCGTAGATTTACTCTACTCGATCAAGTAACGATGCCTCATTGGTCTAAGTCAAACAAAGTGATCTCTTTAGTGGCGGTGATAAGTGTCAAGGCAATCTTGGAATCTTCACTGAGAAAATTTCTTTATTTCACCTATACTCCTTCTTCTACTTAGTTTTTATTTTTTTATTTAAACTGAATTAATAAATTCTATTTGAAATTCTTTGATTATTTTAGTAAATATAATGAAGACCTATTGAGTACATCATCCGTGTACTCAATCCATGGATTTGAGAACGTATAGAAATCTCCAAACTATTACTCTTATGTGTAGATAAGAACGTGTAGACACATGAACCCATATAAAGCTGAGATTTTTCCTTCACGTTAACCTCAAAGTAAGTACGTGACTTTCTCTTGGCCGAGAGAAGATAAAAGAAGGAGGATGTACACAGACAGGTTTTTTCTTAACTTCTTATCTCTGAACCCTTACATTTCCTATGTACTGCCTGAGAGTCTGATTGTTTGAGCGAAAAAAACTTTTTAAAGTATTAAAAGGACATTGACCAACTATAATATATCCGATTTAACTCACACATGTTCTCTACATATAAGAATGTAAGAATGTTCTCTACACATGTAAGAATATCCCCATCCTTTAGTGTCAAACATTATACAAGCGAAAATTGAGGTTATTTTAGTGTTACCTTTTCTCTTCTTCGCTTGTAAATTATTCTAATTTCCGTTTTTGTATCTTACGTACCAAAACAATTACACACAATCGAATAAAAAATATTGACTATTGGTGGATAGTTTGTGCTTGTTACAGAGTGCTTTAATTAATAAATGATATTTGTATTAAGATTAATTGATTTTAAATTGATTTTTAATATAGAGAATTTAATAGCTTAACATATTGTATTGTAAAGCTCTTGAGAAAAAAAGTTCGACATTAATTATTTAAAACATATCCAATATAGTTTAATAAAATTCTTGATTGATTAGACTGACTTCTATGCTAAAACCATTGTCTCATATGGAACCTACCTAAACCGGTTCTGTAGTCATGACTTTTAATTGACCCAAATTCCGATGACTTTTTTTACGTTTCTCATAAATATCTACCAATTCATTCGAAAATTGTATTGTGTATAATAACGAGGACCACTTAAATTCAGCTCTATTCAAAAACAGACCAATTACCAAGTTACAACAGACGCAAAAGTCCTTTTTAAAAGCATTCTATTAGAATTTCTAAAACAATTTTTATTCTTTTATTTTTTTACGAAATAACGGTTCCTATTGAACCTCCAGAATCCATTCATTAAAGAAAAAAAAAGAAAAATGAACGAAGGATTCGAAATTGGCCACCCTTTGCGTGGTCAGGATCTCACGCCATCATGTATCGGTATCCCAATTTTATAAAAGAAAACTATTGAGAGATCTTAAATGGCTTTTCCGGGAATTCACCCTGCACGCCAACGCACGAGAATAGCCTTTAGTAACAGACACGATGGCTGATATGACTTTTGCATGGGATTAGGTTTGCATGATTTCTGTTGCCTCAGCAAATGCGCAATGAGAGATTCGGATAAAGACGTGGCATGTAACAAACCAGTGCTTCGTGTACCTTTCTCCTTTCAAGACAACCATTTATGCAAGTGATGTCTTTATTTAGCGTACGTTATTTGTGATGACATGACACTTCTCCGATTTCCTAACAAAAACTCAATAAATTTCAAGCATTTATAAGATCCAATAGAGAACCTAGTCTGAATACATGCATATTTCAAAAATAAAAGTAAATATCGTAATTTAGTTTATGGCACATTGGTCCTGCAGTATATTTGTTGTGTTGCTTTTCCATTAAATTTGTAATTTTAACGTATTTTCATTTATTGTAATGTTTGGATAATATACTGCTCGCATAAAATGTAGGTCAACACATCTAAGGATCTTATGAAGCATGTTTGATTTTGTTTATATCATCCTCAATTCTCATTTTTGATTCCTTTGTTTGATAAATGTAAGAGATTATTATTTCAAATCCAATAACAATTTTATTATTAGAATATATAATAAATTCCATTAATTAAATCACTGGATCAGAGCATCAATTAATTAATTTGTTGATATTAAAAAATAATTTTCTAGAATATATTAAAAATAATATTTTTAATTTTATTAAATGTATATCATAAAAAAAAAAAAAAAAAAAAAATCCAAGCTGAATTGAATATAGAGAGTAGAGACTTCTCTTGAGAGGAATACGCACTAAATTGAAACCAGCTTCTTTTGATAACCGCTAGGTAGCAGCGTTGTACAGACAATAAAATAACTTACTTTTTATCTTGATATCAATGCTTTGATTCTTTTAGAAATATATTATATTTCATAGTAAATATTAAATATTTATTCCCATACAAAATAAAATTCTTCTTCTTAAAAGACAAAAATATAAAAATAAATTTAAAACAAATATTATTTAGTCTATGAGATACTAAATTTTAGTTTATTTAATATCAAATATTATTTAATTGTTAAAAGTTTATATTTAATAATTAAATGGAATATCTGAAATTTACAAATAATTGTTGTATGCATACTTTAAATTTATTGTTTGTTTTTAGTGATAAGTAGCAATTTTATCAATTTTAATATTTTTTTATCAAACAATAACTTTTTTATACCCAATAAATTAAATTTTGTAAGAAAATCTGACTTGCTTTTTATATTTTTTTTTTATGATGAAGTACAAACAAAAGAATTATTAAGATGAATGGAATTTATCAAAACCTTGGCTCATGGTATAGTTCTCCATGGAATGATGTTACAAAGTAAATAGAAAAGTTGATATGCAGTGTTAAAACTATTAACTACTTAGCATAACATGAACTCCTGATTTAGATCACATATTATTTGATTTACTGACACAAAGACGGGCAGCGTTTTTAAAAATATCTTTTAAATTCAAGATAAATAAATGGAAATCAAAATCAAATCACAACTAATAAGACCGAACTTACATAGTTCTAATAAACTCACAACAATATACATAATTTTGTTTACATAGAGCAGCTACTGAAAATGTGACAATTTTTATTATCATTCTCATGTAGAACTTTTCAACATATTTAGTTACTTTTATAATGTAAAATATATTCGAAAAAAAAATGTGTCTGAAGTTGATGTAGTGGTCTTCACCTTCCTTTATGTAAATATGTCTTTCAAATGACATTAAAATGAAATACTTTGACTAAGATATATTCTTGTGTAAATTATAAAATTAAAGATTATATTGTGAAAATTTATATTTATTTTCTTGTATGTTAATATTTAATCATCTGGTATATCAAGATGTTCAGGTGACATTAAAGAAAACAAACATAATTATACTAAATTAATAAATAGTTTCTACTATTTTGGTGTTAGTTTTGGAATTATTCCCTTAATTAATTTGGTTTTGTATAAAGCAAAGGTGAGTGGAATCATTTAAAAGAAACATAGATTTTCAAGCTCTATTTCATCATAAATATTATCACAAAAAAAGAAAACCTTCCTTCTGTTTATATCAACACATGGCATAATAATTTTATTTTATTAAGAAGCTTTTCCTTAATTAATTTTTCTTTTTTATCATTTGTAGTTACAATCCTGATTCAATGTATCATTAAAATAAAATTATTCACTCTATAAGTCTGATGATTAGTATACATTAAAGAATGAAAAATGAGATTATCATATCTTTTACATGATTCTGTCAACATCAACTTGATCTGTCATATTATTATCTAATCTGATCAACACCTAAACCATTTCATCATTATTTTTTTACAGTTTCATAACAAGCAATAAAAAAAAACCCACTGAGGATTTGAAACACCCCCTAGCAGGCTGAGATATTAATCTCATTAATATAAATTCTAAATAACGGGTTTGATAATTAAGTTCCAAAGCCAATGAGCGGCCTTAGTCGCAGGTGTAGCTGCAGCATTTCCGATCATATGAACAAAAAACATTTCCTTGGCACGGTTTCTTTATTTTTATCGTTTTTAGCGACATCAAGATTCTGGGAATCCATTATTGCAATCTTTAGACCTTTTAAAACCAGTTTTTTAATTGCTGTGACACTACCATCTTATGACATTCCTCAACACCACAGAATAATTTCAAGAAACATAGTCGTCACTTTCAATTATTTAAATTTTGTTTAATCATCTCATCTTCCTATCCATTTACTAAAGTATAATTAAGGCAAATAAACACGGTTTTTAATCACTGTGATTTGGAGTGAGATCTGGATTGTGTAAAAAAAAAAAAAAACGAATTTTTATCGTGACGTGTCGAGGTCGGTTAGGCTTGTTATGTACAACTTAATTGAGAATTCTTATATTATACTCATATCGGAGAGTATTTTATAGATTCGTCCATTGTTCAATCATATCTTTAAATGATACGAATATAGTTTAAAAAGCTTACATTTGAACTACGATTACGACCTTAAATTATATATCATGCTGAAACCAAAATCCAAGTATGGCTCAGGGTTTTTTTTTCTCTTGAGTTGACATCAATGTTTTGGACTGAAAATATGTAAGAATAATGAAACAAGCATAGCCAAAAATCTGAATTCTGTAAAAAAGTGAAAGAAAACCTCCTGAATTAGAAAAACCTGAATAGACAATTTGAAATTTTTATATTTATTATCTGGAACATCAAACGGCATCTTGAAACACTTCATTATTCTTTTATTCACAGGATAGTACCTCCTATTACATCATTCAGGAAACTGATATTTTCTCCTCTAAAATGTACGACTGAATTCCGTCTGTTCTTATAAAACCTTCTTGTTGACCTGAAACAAACGAGCGTACTAATGGTTTACACTTAAGGATTCAACAGTGGAAACAGTTTTATGTCGACCTCAATATAAATATGTAATATTCTTTTAAAGAACAGTAAAGAAAAATCACTGAGGTCCACTTTAAAAAAGAAAATCAAAATATAACAACATTATAGAATCTTTGTTTCGATTAACGGAACTTTTTATTAAATAAGTGATTAGTTTCAAAACCGAGTGAATCTATTTTCAAAATTGTAACTTGTAAAACTTAGTAATAAAAAAGTAAAATAAAATCCTATAAGTATATATATTTTGGCCTCTGATCTAATTTTATTCTACATTTTACTCAATACAAAATATTGCTAGTATGTCAATAGATTGAACAAAAAGTATCTTTATTTTGAATATATCTTCGGTTTTATAATAAAGACATCTGAAACAAGAGACTGTTCTTTATCATTGAAAACATTGCGGACTTATTCCATCCAAAACCATCTACAGCTCATTTTCGGACAATTTATAGATTAAGCCCTTCATGCTTAATGCCGTCCACTTTATGTATAGTTATTTGAATTATTTGGGCTAAAGTTATTAAAGTTAGTACCATATTTTCCTAAATCGTGATCACTGCCAGAAATATTTTCAGTTGAATCTCACGTCTTATTTGTTCTTCCAGAACGACTCTTTATTGCATTATATATTTTAGGTTTCTTGAGCTTAGAAATAATTATGAAAGTTTCCATGTATGATAGAAACGTTTAGTTACTGTTAAATAATATTAATTTTTAGAGAAAATTCTCTATATCTCTCCATTACCTTTATATCCTGATGATATTGCTGTTGCAAGTAGCAGTTTAAACACCAGACAAATTCTGAAGCACTCACAACATGTTTCCCAAAAATTAGTCGATGAATTAAGAAAATCAAACACAAAAAGTGAAGAACAAACTATCTTTAAAATTTAAAATAAAATTTCAAAAAATGTTTATTAACGGGTTATTTTTAACGGGCATTTAAGGTTTTCAGCACACATTTGTTAACAAATTAAAATCATCAGACAGAAAACTTACCGGCTAAGTCATTTATTGTCTTCCACAAACATATCGATGAGTTTAAAGATTTTAATTTATATAACGATAATAAGTCTGCCTCTCTTTTATGGTACCCATTCTTAAAAAGTTGAATGAAGAAACGACTGCAATAATTTCAAAATGGAGTACAGTGAAAGATATTTAAAGGAATGTCCTTGCAGATCTAAAACGTCAAGAATCCGTTGCGAATTAAAAATATCAAGAGTAAATGTTTTCATAACCTAAAAGAATTACCAATTTTACGATTTAAAAAGTGGATTTTATTTTAAAAAATAGACCGAATCTCTTATTCAATCGGCTTGTGCCTCTTGAACATTTCAACGTTGGCAAAAGTTATTTGGAAATCAAATTTTAGCTTTTATTTAAGTTTTTAAGTTCAACACAAAAAAAAAAAAGGTTAGAGATCACCCTTACCACTTAATATTCAATAGAAATAATGGAAATTGGCAGAAATAATATATAATATATATAGCAGAAAAAGCAAAAATTCCAAGAGTTTGAAACTCGTCAAAAAAGTGTGTCAAGAGCTATCGGAAAAGAAATTGCCTCCTTCAACTTTATTTGTTAGGTATTTATTTTAAAAAGTAAAATAACGATACATATGTGTGCTTCATATTTATTAGTTTTATTTATGTGTACGATTTATTTACTTAATTTATTTGTATTATTCATCTTTTTCTCTATGCGTACTATTATCTTTGTATTACATTAGTATCTTATGTATATTAATTATCTTTTTTTGTTGGGCTATTAATATACTTTGTATATTTCTTAATTTTCTGATATACTTTTAAATTTTTAGTGTGGGTCCACTAAACCATCAAATTCCTCTCGTATCAAATAATTGATTATCCAATGCAAAATCCTCCTTACTTTGTTACAAATAAAATTATCCATAATGAACTTAATCTTATGTTGTCGATTTAGCTCAATCCAGACACCTATCCTTCCTTAATAAACTTCAGGCCCATCCAAATCAACTAGTTGAGAATCTTGCATCCATTTCGATTCCTGATAGCTTTCCTAGGAGTCTAAAAGAAGATGGCTTCGGAACCTACAGTATATAACGATAATTATAGTGCTACCAATGAGTAGTTTCTAACGCTAATAAAACAAAAATTAAATTCTAGCCCTGACGATAATCCCTATACCTGGGTCGAAACATTAGCAACCAGGATAAACACATTCATAATGAAAATGCTTACTCCCTATCATCCTCGTTCCCTCGCACAGAGTTCGCGAAGCAGCCGACCCACGTGCCTCGGCCTCCCACTCCCATCAACTTCTTGGACACGCTTCCCCCGGCCCCCGCCGACATCGCTCAGTTGGGAAGAGCCCGTGGGAACCCGGCGTCTCCTCCATTCCCTGCTCCAGCTAATCTAATTATAGCCGCTCCTCTTTCTTGCCTCGCAGCGGGCTACCTCTGTGCTCGGCATCTTCCTTTCTTCGCTCCGCGCGCTCTTGCGACACCCAAAGGTCGGGATATATTGGTATCGGGGGTAATGTCCGCGGTTCTTAACGCTGGCGGAGGGTTACACATATCTGAGTAATATCCGAGACATTCTTTCTTTTCAAAATTTTCTCCGTGCCTTTCCTTTTCAAGATAATTCCATTCAGTTAAGATGCATATTTCTAATTTTTTACCATATGTTGTGAATATTTTATTACATATAAAAAATGAAAGTATATTCCGATACTTAGTTTGATAGATGATCATCTTTGTCATTGTACTTTCCTTAAAAAAAATATATTAACTGAAGATTTTTGCCATTTAACTAATTTATTTCAAGTATCATAAAACGGGAGCACTATCTAGGTTGGGGGGGAGGAGGGGAATCACTAGAAAATTATAACCAGTTATTCGTTTCAAAATTCCAAAAATATCCTTCTGTTTCATTGAGTTACTTATAGTTTCGATAAGAATCCATTCCCTGTTATAGTAAACTGGGTATGGTTGCAACAATTTTCATTTAACTTTCCACAATTTCGTTATTATATCAATTCGTTGTAATGTAAGAAAATCGATTTTACAGTAAATATTTCACCCGAAGAATGATAATTCGACTTGAAAATTAATATGACCACTTATACAGTTTTGACAATGTGGCGGCATTCTGTGACCTGTTCACGGTAATCATAATTAATTATCATTACGGTAAATGAAAAATTTAAGTATATTTTTTAACTTAAATAAAGAAAGAATCATTAGAAAAATGGGACCTCTATTATGTAATTTTTAATTAGACGCTGAAATTGAATTACAGAAATGATGGTAATAATTTTATGTATTTTCAAAGTACAATGGAAAGAGATGAATTGCCAGGTATTTCAAATTTTTGAGAAAATGAAGGGATATGTAAAAAAAAAAGTGCTTAACCGATTGAAAGCTGCTTAAGCAGTGAACCACGGTCTGAGACCATTGTGTTAGCTCTTGCAGTTTTGGGGTTTTATATAAGGTATTTAGTTAACGATTGTTGATGGTATCGTTGCAGCGTTCTTTCGTGTAACCTGAAAAGATTAAAATGCCCATTGTTTATGCTTTCATATACCCTCGTAAGTTTCAGTTCTATATTATCATTACGATTGATTTCTGCTATTGTTTTTATTGCGCAACCTTGCTAACAACATAGATAACCAGAAATCAGTTTCAATCAATAGGCGATCCAGGGTGTGAACATGCACCAATTTATTGATCCTTATTTACTGCTCCTGCGCTGAAATCCCGGGAATTCAGCTTCCTACCTCAGGGTGCCATTCCTTGTCTGTTCTTTGTCCAAGGCAGTTCTCCTTTAAGGCATATTATTGTATGATACAACGAACAGCACAGCCGTCGACATGGCAGAAGTTACACCAGCCGGGGTGCGGGAGGATTTCAAAAACCTCATGCATAAATTTTCTTCCTTAAGGAGTTTTGATTTCCAGGAGTTTTCTGATACTTGGAATGCTTTGAAATTTTATTGCCTGTATTGGTAATTATATTTTATTTTTTATTTAAAAAAAAAGTATTTAATTGTTTCGTTATTGTTGAACTGCGAAAATATATTATAATTTTAAATGGTTGAAAATCTTTGCACAATAGTTTATTATATTCAAATACCTATATATAAATGTTAGTGGCGTGTTCCTACAACATTTTCCTCAACATATAGGGTAGAAATTATTTACTGAAGATAGCTCAACTATTTAAAATATTTTTTTATTGTTTTATTTAAAGCAGCTGGTATACTGAATAATAGAGTATTAGACAGTAATAGATGTGTTGGGGAGTAAGAATTGTGGGAGGGCTAATCTGAGTTATTTTCTTGAACTGTGCTATTATTTTAAGGGAACTTTAGTCCCAGAATTAAATTATTTTCTATTTCATAATGACGTAGAGACGGTTGACCGTGATATAACATGAAAAGGAGTTGGTCGGGAGGTGCGGTCAAATAAATACTTAATTTTCAAAATAGTATTTCAAATTTTCAAAATAGTGTAACAATTAAATAATATTTTGAAAATTTAGTATTTGTTAACCGCACCCTCCCCTCTCCCTCCCCCCCGACCAACTCCTCTTCATATATTTTATTTCATTTCATATTAAGCTATCTAAAAAATTAGATTAGTTTTCAAACGAACTAGAAAAATTTATAGAATCCAGTTATAGTATCAGAACTTATAAATAAAATAAACAGATAAAATAAAAATCTAATTTCCATGGAAATATGGGCATCAAGTTCAAAACAGTACATCTTTGCAAAAAATGCTCCAATTTGAATAACGTTTTTGGCTTTGGTTTTTAGAAAAATTCAATATCCTTAAAAATAATACGTACACCCATATTCTGAAACGCACCCCCACCTCCTATTAATGACCTTCGAGGATGTGAAAAGTCGATAGTTTTCAGGAAAATGAGACCATTTTCATGATGTACTCATAAGTACCTACTCATTTTCTCTAAACAATGTATTTTTTTTTTACCGAATTGAGTTTAATTAATTTTTTCTACAAAAATAATTTTTTAATTCATTATTTAAGAAGATTATTTTACTTTCATTTTTTTTTTTCCTTTTATATGTACAAAGTGGTTATACAATAATATTTATTTTGTTCGGGATTTCATCTGATTATTTAACTAATTAATTCATCCTGACAAAAGTATTTTGGTTTTAATACAGCCCTGCATTTATAGTAAAAGTTTGACTTTTATTTTTTTAAGGTCTAAAAAAAAATACGTCAAATGAAAAATAAATAGTAATTAGGTTTATAATAGAGTTACAATTCATCTTAAATGAATTACTTTTTGTAATTAAGTTTTGAATTTTTGAGGACACATTTTGATGGGGGTTATGAATTTTCGGAGAGTCATATTTTTGCAGAGTTTTAATTAGAAGGAATTTGCAAACCACATGACGTAAGATCTACCTTTTCTCATTCCATTTTTGCTTGATTTTTTTTTTTTTTTTGAAGAGGAGAGTTATAAAATTTCTTGAATGGGGGAGATGAGGGTCATGATCTATCGACTTTATGGGACGGGTATGGTGCTCCCTTTTCAATTGTGAATTGTACCAAATACCCTGAAATTTTTTTTTTTTTTTTTTCATTAATGGCGTCATAAAATGAATCTATAATTAAATCAGTGTCTTGTGATAAATAACTCAAACGGGGTCAAGGTGTTGAGGAGAGGTAAAATCTTTCCTAGAGTCGATCTAGGACTGATCCTCACTCAGACCAGGGGAACAGCTGAGGAGAGCAGGTTCTCCGAAGACGCTCTTCCCAAGACCGTCCGTGCGCGACTAAAAATGTCGCACCCTGCCCGAGGTGGCCCTGCTTTTACTGAACACGGCGGATCTCGACCGGGAGGTCATAAAAAACATCCCTGATGATGGTAACTAGCATCATCAGTAAAGGCCGTAAGGCCGAACATTCGGAAGAGTCAGCAGTATTTTGAAGCAAGCATCTTCATGCGGAGTTGGTTTGCGTTAGCGAACCAGTTCACGCTTATTAACTGCATGGAACAAAACACTTGAAAGAAATTCTGAAGAAAGATTCCAATAATACCTACAGTTATGAAGTGCCGGGAATTTATGAAACAACGGAATATGTGGGAAGATCACTTAAACTAGATGTTCTATATCCAGGTAATGGATCAGGAAAGGAAGAGAAGATTGGCACTGTTAACTTGGGAATCTAATCCAGGAACCCTCTCTTTGATGCAGAGGTACAGTAAAGAATGCTTATGAATTAAAAATATAAACATCTGTTTCTTGGAACAAAAGGCTAATTCCTCGCTCATTATGAGTTGTTCTTATTACCAATAATTGGAGCATCTTAGAGCTTTTAGCATCTAATGATTATCTTACCTTTATTTCTTTAGTTGCACTTTTTGTTCTAAGGTTCAGATATATCAATGCTGGTTTAAAACCATAATCCTAAAAACTGTGAGTTTAAAATTAATCTTATTATATACAACAATTTTTTTTTTAGAAATTTATTCCAATCAGCAGTTATAGCATTGAATGTTCTCTTGATTTGTGTATCAATTGATCAATTGATGTACTTTTGTTCATCACTTCCCTTTTGTATTTAGAAAGTCTGATGATGTCTTACGAACGTGTTAATGATAATATAAAAACCACAATATTATTTATTAATAGGAAAGCCATGGAAATCAGAATCACCCATGGAGAGCTCAAAGAGTACGATCCTATGGAAAGTTTCATGAAGTTATGTATGATGGATGCTTTTCATTATGTTTGCTGCAAAGACCAAGTACGTATGAACTGATTTTCATTTTACATAATTATTAGTAATAATACCAAAGAAATGGCATGTTCTAATATTATATCAAATGACCTGTCAGTGTCCGAGGTAAGCTTATAAAGATAGGAATGGAACCACTGCAATATACTCATTTATCAAAATATACCATTGGTTCTGATTTTTTTAATCTAATAAAATATATGGTTTTCCTCTACCTAGAATATTTTGAATGAATGAATAAATGAAAATAATTTTATTATTCTGGAACTAGTGTCCCTTTAGAACAAGTCACAAATACAGAGTATATATTAATATTTTGGTGTGTCCATGAAATACAATTCAATATTTACAGGTTGATTCGGAGTACAATAAAGTTATAAATGATAAAAAGATATAAATACGAGTAAATATAAAATATACAGAGAAAGTAATTAAGTGAACGAAATATCAATGAATTACAAAATAATCAGAGTATCTGGGTGTACTTTGAGGTTTTTACAGCTGGGAATGGAGTAGGTGTTCGAAGAGCAGAGATTTGAAAGAGGATATCGATTTCGCATGTTGAAATTCTGAAGGTATAGAGTTCTAGAGTGAGACAACTTGTATTAAAAAGGATTTATCAAATGCAGTAGTTCAGTGAGGAGGAGGATAGAGGTCGGAAGCACGGGGTCTGGTGGGACGTGATTGAAAGGAGCATTTAAATTGTAGGATCTTTAGAATATTCCTAGAAGAAGTTAAATATTATTACCTTTTCGATTGCAAGACTAACAGTATAAGGTGCATCAGAGATAGGTTTTGAGGACATTAGTAAAAGTAGCTCAAGACCTCTGAGTCAAAATATTAGAACAACTATGTGCCACATTTAAATCCTTAAAGATTGTTTATAATATTTCTCCTCCTATTGATTTTTCACTCAATACTTGAAATTTATCAAATTCTTAGTTTTAAAAACAAACAAACAGTAAGGTAGTACTTTCATGATTTCTGTTCTAAATGTCTTTCTTAATATTGCTTATGAAAATAGTTTATTTAGTTAGCTATTAGTATAACTTGATCTATAAAGTATACCTCATGTATCAACCATGTTCAAGATAAAATTTTTATTGAAATTTGAGTTGCTTACTTTTACTTGAACTGAATTTGTAAATTAAATCAGTGACAAAATTTTTCATAAATATTTTTTACTGAGATTGGTGTATAAGCTTTACACAAACTAACTCTCTAATGCTCTCTATAGACTCAAATTACAGTAAACAGACTTAAGAAGTTGTGTTTGGAAAGAACATGGAATAGGGAAGAACATAAAATGACAGTTGCTTATGTAGTTTCTATTCACTTTTATTAAAAAGAAAAAAAAAATTTAATGTTCTAAAAGGAGAAATGATATTGTTGAATAAATTTATTGTTTCTAAAAATGATGTTGCTGACTTCCAAGATCTGTAATGGAGTATACAAATGATTTTGAATGGTACAAAAATTAGTTTGTCTATAATTTAGTTAAGTGCAATATGAATAAAATACAATTTGTACATTAAACATTACAAATATATAATTATGTTTTCAGTGACAGGTTTTTGCAGAAAACAAAAGTTTTTCTACTCAGGTCTGTTACTTGAATAGAAAACAAAACTTGCAATTCTTTAAACATCACAGGCAAGCTAAAACTAATAATGAGCAGATGAAGGCAGGTATGCAGGCATGTGCTGAAAACTTCAGTAACATCTTGCTATTGTTAATCCTGAGTAAGTCAAGTTCATTTTTTTAAAAATATTATTCTCAACTCCTACATTCCTCATTTTAATTTAAAATAATTATTTAATGTAAATATATAAAAGAGAAATTCTCTTGAGTATGTATAGAAATAATACCTATGAGGCATTCCAAGAATTTTAAATAACTGAAGAACAATGAGTAGAAATAAATATTATATCTTAGACGAATATTATTAAAGAATCAGAGATTATAATAAAGATAAGGGAATTATTTACTTAACGAGGATTTCTAATGAACTAAACGAATTAAGTTGAAGAAATTCATGGGGATTGGTTGACCTTGTCTTTTCCCAAGTTGGTTCTTGGATGTTGATGTAGGAAATGGTCTATACCTTGAAAACACCTTTATTAATCCATAATTCCCTCAAAGTAGCGCTTAAATTGCCTGAGAAGAATCTGATGTCCGTTATCCAATTTATTCTAATTTAACATAAATCTAATTCTATAAATCAAAGATTCAAAATTATTTATTTATCTTGAAGCCAAGAATGGAATAGCAAACCTCTGGGGAACTGGAGGAAAAATTCAACACAAATATTTTTACGCATTGGAGTTTTAAAAAAAGGAATAACAACTAACAACTATTTCAGTTAATGAACTTGTACATACAACATACTTTTAGATGAGTCAGAGTAACACTAGATCAAGAGAAAACTTTATCACAATAACAAGTGGTACTTTTATGATATACAGGATGGTTTCATTATTGATGGACAGTGATGATAGAATGTAGTTCTTGTTGGAATTCATACTTGAGCTAAATGAGTGCTAAAAATTAGTGATATTTTCCCCATTAAGAGAGAAATAGAATGGAGAAAGCCAATATTTTTTTAACTACCAGGTTGACTCTGAACTCCATAATAGTCAATATAATTAAGTATAATAATGATGGATTATCTTAATAATTATTACATTACCTATTATAAAGATTTATCAATTTATATTTAATTTAAAAGGTGAATTCCTATCTTGAGTGGGATCAGAATGATGCTCTATTGAATGGGGTTGTGAATATATTGTAATGGGAAATGGTTAACTGCAGTTTAAATTTTTAATTTGAAGAACATAGTAACACAGCGAAATTGATTTAAGTATATTTTTAATTTAGTAGATTGCATTAAATTCAAACCTTATTTAAAATTTGGTAAAACATATTTTTTTCTTTTTATGTTTATTATTTTAAGTAAATAGAATAAACTACCATAGTTTTGTTCTGGAAATAAAATTGTGAATGTAATAATCAATAAAATCTAAAATTAGGTATGTTATAAAACAAGTGGCATGTATGTGTGTGAAACTGATGTTGATCCAACATTAAAAAATAAGTATATATAGAAACTTGATTTCGTACATTGAAATTTAAAAATTGGATATTTAAAACAAATGTTTACAATATGGGAAAAAAAGAAAGAAAAAACGAAGAATTACTTTGTATAAATGGCTATGAATAGAAACAGGATACCAGAGTGTAGAGTAAAACAACCAGCTGACAGGAGTCAGGCTGTTCACTTCCTAGGATAGTTCCCATCAGGCCAAGATCAACTCAATTGCAAGTTAGAGCAAAGAATTTTCAGTAATAGTTTCTGAACATTATGCCAATATCTGACTGATATTTTTTTTTTTTAATTTCCTTCAAATTCACCTGATCCACAATGAAAATATAAGTTATTATTTTTAAAATGTCCACAGAAAAAATAAGACAAAAAAATTAGACCTCACTGCCCTCCCATCATAATGCATTCACTGTTTTATTAAGTTATTTTTTATTTGAAATGGATGGAAAATGCAGATCATTGTGGTCAATCAGGAGCTCGCTTTAAAAATCACTTATACCTCAGTAGTTATTGAGACACCAAAATTCAGATAGTTAGACATTAAGTTTCATTATTACTCGGAGAGCTTTTGAACCAAGTTACAAGTCCTAAGTAAAAAAAGAAATAATCCTAAAGAGCTAATTATAGAAAATTGGAAAACAATAGTGATAGAGGATCTACCGTATGCCCAAAATCTCTGAATATAAGAAATAAGATAAAAGAAATAGATATAAGAAAAGAATATAAATAAACGAAATAAAAGCATTGAAAGATTTAAAAAGCAATTGAAGTCTGATTTATTTGACACTATCAAGAACCTATCATTCAAAATAAAAATGACGCAATTCAGGTAAAGAACTGTTAAAATTGCTCCACTATATGAGGTTATTTTCACCATAATCAGTTGCATAGCATTCTACAAATTAAATACAGAATTCTGCTGTATTAAATGATTTTAGTAATTATTTTGTCATTAAAGACATTAATTAATTAAACATATATTTTATGGCATCAAGATACCCAGAAGATTTAATTGAAAATAAAACTTAATTTTTTATTATGTTTAAAAAGATGTGGTTAAATATTATGTGATATTTAAATTATTTTACTTAAATCAATGTGTTATGTTATTAATCTTCAGAAATAATTACTTATATTATTTATATATATCTTCATTTTTTTAAACTCATTACTGAATTGCAGATAGATTTTATGTTACTTTACATTATGGATGCATTTATGGAGAACATATATATAAATTAATTATATTTATTATTACCAAATTAACATATGTGTCTAAATAAATGTATCCTCTATTTATCTATATTATTGAACATTGTTAATGCATCTTATTTTTTTTTCTAGATCTCTCATTAAATATTTTCTTGAGTATGGGTGGTAACAAACAATTAGCTGCAGAAATTGGCATAACTACAAATAGTTGCTGCAGCTATACTCTCTAGTTTTAATTAGTATTGTAAGATTTAGATGTATTTCTCCCTCTCCCATTCCTTACCTGTCCTTTTTAAATCTTCCTCTTTCTCATTTTGAACAATATTTGTCCAAGTAAATAAAAACATTAGTTATGTATCGTTTATTCCCTTGATCTTTTGTTTAACTATTGGTGTTGTAATGTTTATCAATAAACTGCCTGATTAACTTGTAAAACCACTTTATTTTTTATTTTGACCATTGTTGTAGTGTAGAAAAGTAAATAACTTAAACAAAAGATAGTGTATCAACATAATGATGAAAAAAGGATGATTGAAAAAAAGAAGTAAGTAAACAAAGTATTTATTTGTTTAATAAACTACAAATGTAACACCACCTTATGAACTCAAAAATTACATAGAAATTCATTCATATCACAGCCTGATGAGGTTACATATATTTCACTTTGTTTATAATTTATTAATAATTTGTACATTTCTATACGTCAACAGCAATAATATAACTTAGGATTCTTAAATAGGAATCCAGAATAATAAATATATTAATTTAAAATAAATACATATTAGCGACAATTTTTACTATGATTCCAGGTACAATCAATATTTGATTGAAATTTATTTATGAAAGTTTTTGCTAGGTTTTAAATCTAAATTTTCTATGAAAATAGATTGGAGATCATTTTACGAAAGAAACAATTTTCGACATTCCTGTACTTGAAGGTTGCAAGGGATAGAGATGGATCTGAATCGGAGCCATTTAGGTATTATAAAGGCGTTAAGTAAGGTGATAGCCTAAGCCCACTACTATTCATCATATACATGGATGAAGTTGGAAAGGTTTATTAGAGAAGGACACGCAGTGCAACAATGGGATACCAGAATTTAATATTTCTGTGCAGGCACAAGCTATCCTATATGCAGATGATGTGGTCCAGACTGCTGACACCTAAGAAAGGCAGCTGGCATTCAATGAATGGTCAGAAGAACTTCAGAGGATGGGAATGGAAATAAACTCTACAATAAGTAAGGTGATGCTCGTCGGGCGAGATGTGGAAGACTAAGTTCTCATAAAATGTAATAATGAGCCATTAGAAAAGGTAGATAACTACCAGTTTTTGGGCATCATTTTCAGCAGAGATAGAAGGATCAACTAGGAGGTTTTAAATAGAGTCAAGAAGGCCAATGGTGTGTTTTACTCTATCTGCACTACAATATTAGGAAAACAGGAGGTAAAGTTTAAGCTTTGTTTAAAACAATATTTCTGCCTGTCCTTTTGCATGGTGCAGAGAGTTGGACGGTAGTGATCAAACATGCAAGTAAAGTAATGGGCATAGAGATGAAATACCTCAGGATAGTTTTTGGGAAAACACGAAGACACCACTGGAGGAACGAGAGAAGCTGAACATAAGGCCTATAAAACAAGTCATGGAGGAGGGACTACTGAAGTGGTTTGGCCATGTGTATGGGTGATAGCCGAAAGGCAAAACGGTTCCTAGAAGCAAAATCAGAGTGAAGGTGACTAAGAGGCAGGCCTAGGCTGTTGTATTATGACTACATGGAGAGACTCGGGCGAGCCAGAGGTAGCACCATGGTGGATATGTGAAGGAGGACGAGATGGACCGAGGCTGTTCCTCCATGCTGATGCCACTAAGGAGGTGGTAAAAGAAGAAGAACTATTTTTCTCATTTCTTAAAATAACACTGAACAATTGGTCAACAGACTAGGGTATGTGCACTGCATTCCTTTTTTAAAAATACTCTTGATAAAAATTATAATAAAACATTTTTAAAAATGATAGTCATAACCAAAATTATCGCTACAGAAAATAACTACATTCAAACAACTTATTCATAATTATACACTTGATAAATAAGCAAGTTGTGTCAAAACTGAAACTCTAATTAAATGCCATTTATAAATGGACATAATAATATTTTAATATCAAATATTAACAAATCATTTGTTTAAATAAAAGCTTGTAAAATGCATTAGGGGATTACTCCTCCTGCAGTGTATCCAAGAACCTATTAACCTTGTATTATTCATTATGAGTGAATTTTAAATTAAAATAAGATTTAAACTTTCTTGGATGATAGGAATATTCTAAGAAATAAGCTTTAAATGTTATAACACCATTTTGTCAGCTATATTCTACATATAGCCATGTTTCTTTTGATTTCAGTTTTCATTTTATACATTTTCATTGGCTATAACTTAAACTTTTAACCTATTATAATCTTCCTTTATCATATCTGCTCCCTTCTCTCCTATCATGATGGTAGGAGCATTAGTGTGTGCTGAAACAATCATTGGCATAATGGAAGCATCGATCACTCTCAAATTCCTGATACCAATCACCCTCAACCTAGGATCGACGACAGATGTTGGGTTACCAGGTGGTCCCATTTTGCAAGTACCACTCTGATGGTAGTTGGTAACAGTGATGAATCTGGCATGGCAGGCCCAATAGGCTTCACTGTTTCTTGGGTGATGATCACAGCCTGGAATAGGTTTGTCGTACAGCTTGGGACTGAAACTTTTAAAAGCAGATGTTCTGCTGATATTATTTGATAACTCAACTCCCTTAACAAGTATTTTAACATCATCGGGGTGTGAAAAAAATCCCAGGTCAATTCGTGGTTTTGTAAATGGATCTGTTGATTTCAAAGTTATCCTTCCTCGACTTTTTGGCCTCATGACGTTCATGAACATGAGGTAGCTGTGGACAGAGCCGTTGGATTTGTACACCTGGTTAAAGATCTTGTCGTTGATTCCAAAATTAGCATTTAGAAACTGCATAGCAAGAGGCGAGGAGATGCAAAATTGTATCTCCAAATTGGGGAAGCTATTGGGACCATGAGGATCATATACATCAACAAATGCCAATGCCTCCAAACCACCCGTGGCGGTCAATGGGCCCTTGTTGTTGAGCATGTAGTTCGCGATGACATCAGCTTCCACGACCATGTCCTCCGTCAGACTCACCGGTTTATCAACGGTATAAATGACGTTACCGATGACTGGATGGTCCATCAAGTTTTCTCCTACTGGCAGATCCTGAACCACGGGAATATTCATTTCCATGAGGTGTTTCTTAGGTCCGATTCCGGAGAGCATCAGCAGCTGTGGGGAGTTGATGGCTCCAGCTGACAAGATGACTTCCTTTCTTGCTCGGACACGGAACTTTCGGTTGCCTTTGACGTACTCAACGCCTACTGCTTTATCTCCTTCAAGCAATACCTTCGTCACCATCCCGTATTTAACCACTGACAAGTTTTTCCTTTTTCTGATTGGATGAAGGAACGCTCTGGAAGCACTAAATCTAGAGCCATTCTTTGTTGTTGACTAAAACAAAAAGATATATTAAAAAAGGAAACTTAAGTAGCATAAATATAATACGACGATTAGTCGATAACGATATAGAACTTAAGGAAATAGAAACTTTATCAAATTATTATTTATATGACTATAATTTTTTATTTAATGAAAAATTTAAAATCGAAAAAATCATCTCAAAATCGCGTTCAATAACCTATCTTTTAGGAAATTAAACATAATCTCTAGAAGGTGTGCTATTATGAAGATTATTCATATGAAGATAAATTTTATCAATTTTTTGATACTTGTAGTAAAGAAAGAGTTAATTCGGACACATTAAAGCAGTATAAGACTAATTTTGTAAAATTAGCTTGCCTCATTTATCGTTATGTAATATCTTCAAAGTAAACTCCATGGTGCTAATTAGTCATTTTTCGAATAGTATGACAAATAACTATAAAATGAGAGTTGTACATCGAAATAATTTAGTTTGGATCTAGTCTTGTTAGGAGTAAGATTTCGTGTTTAAAAATCACAGGACATGGCAATACCCACAATACTAAGGCGATAGCTAAATAATCAGTCACCTCTTCTCATGGAAATGAACGATTTGAAAAGAAAGAAAAATATCGAGATAATTTAATATTATTTAAATTAATTAAAAAATAAATGTAAATGAGAGGCTTATAATACATTTGAAAGTATTGATTTTAAGATAATGAAAAAACAAATCCAGAATACTGAGAACAGTTGTTTCAGTAGCAAAATAAAATGAGGGGAAATACCAGAAAAGAAGACTAGGATGTCGCTAATGGTCCCCTCGAGTTGCGGTTAGGATCTAATCTAAATTAGGGGTCTTCGAGTGTGGTTTCGTGTTCCAAAGTGACAGGACATGCAACATCCTGAATCTTAAGGCAATAGCTTAATAATCTGCCATCTCTTAACATGGAAAAACAAGATTCAACAATTTGTCTAATTGTGTTGGCTTTAAGAGAAAAGTAAAATGAGTGGTTCGGATTTGATTAAAAATAAATAAAAAAAAAGAAAATAAGACACAGATGATTGCCTATTGCGTTGCAGAATTATTGTTTACGGATGAAAATATAAGTTGTATGCAACCAATCGTGTTCAGCCAACTTTTTAATCATATAACTCCATAGCCAATCTTTTGTTCGTAACAGTAGACTGACAATGATTGTATCATATTAGATTTTTGGAGAATAATAAAAGTCATTTATATTTACGTTTATATGGTAAATGTAGCTACAAGAAACACTTTCCAAAAATGAAATAACGTATTGGAAAAAATGTTTTCCGATTAATTTATATTGATCTGTTTACTTCTTCATATAGTACCAAGAGTAGATGCAAGGGTGATCCGTACGACAAAAAAAATTATTCCTAATTCTAATATTTTTATTTAATCAGTTTTTTAACCAAACCAATTATCGTATTTACTGGCTACCTACCCATATTTTAAGATATATATATATATATATATATATATATATATATATATATATATATATTATATTAGATTTATTTAAAATTTGAGTTGACCAGAAGGGCTTTTTGTATTAATCTAGTTCTTAAGAGACATATTTCGAGACTAAAAGGTTCTTTTTAATACTACCTGAACATATGAGAATCCTTCGATGTTGCCACCATTATAGTCTCCAACTTTGAAACCTAGTTCACCACCAGCTTTTACGAATGCATGAGCAAGCTCTGACTTGTAAGGAGCAGTGTCGACTGACAGGTAGCCTTTCTGATGATGGAAACTGAAAAAAAAAATCATTATTATTTATTTTCTAATTGAACATAAACAATTATTTTGTTGTGATTACAACTTGAATTACTCATGAAGTGAGGAAATATGATCGGAAAAACTTGGCCATCACAAAGCTAGCAATTTATGATGGGGTTATGAACTTACGCAGGGAACTATATTTTTTTAGTGTTTCATTTTAGAGGAAATTTTAAACCATGGAACTAGGGGTAAAGTGGAGGACCATAGCTAGTTTATTTGTTTAAAATTCATATTTTTAAATTTTACTTTCGCTTCCAATGTTTTTAATTTAATAGAAGCAATACAATTTCTTGGAAGGGGGGAGGCATGCGCCATCCACATTTGAGGAATAGGCACCCTTGGTACCTTGTTCGAGAACATGAAAATTTAGAGAATATCCTCTGCACCAGACAATTTAGAAGTAAGGCATTTTCCGCTGTCTTCATGTTTTCTATTCTTAAACTAAATTGTTGGCTGTTTTTTATGACAAATTCTTCAACTAGCTTCGAAAATCGCAGAATGTTTTGACCGGAAAATTTCTATAGAAATTAACTAAACTGTTGTTGGAAATCAGGACTTTTGTGGAATATTTTTAACATCGATATACGGAGTTTGATGACATACTTATTCATTTTTTAATAGGTATCCAAGTTATTATGCAATTATTTGTATTTAAAGAATAGAGTCTTGCTGGGACATATTTAGAATAAAGAAGTGTGAACTGAATTAAATTATTTATATGAAACACTATTGACTTGATTTTTGAAGAGGAATGTGCCATTTTTAAACCAATTTTTTTTATTTGACTCCTGATGGATTGCGGAAACGTTAGACTAAAGCTTCGTTTGGATTGTTTCGATAAAAAACATGATAATAATAAATTTAGTTTCTTTGTCTCATTTTTATAATTTTTCTTGGTGGTTTTACCTTGGGTTGACCATGTAGTTGAAAGCATCTGATTGGCATGCCTCGCTTTTCAAGAAGTAGGGATAAACATCATTCCAGGACCATCCGCGGTTACCCATAGCTTCCCAATGATCGTAATCTCGGCGGTCTCCTCGGGTGTAGACCATGAAATTGATGACTGAGCTCCCACCCATGACTTTTCCTCTTGGTACTGGACATCTGCCGTCCTTCAGACCTGGAAAAATACATATTTCATAAAATGCACTGGAGAAATACAGATGCATTTGAAGCGTTCTGTTATTCAGTAATTGGGGACGGGCTAAAAGACATGCAGTTAAAATTTGTTGGGAAAAAAAAATTGCTTGAACATATGTATGTACATATTTTAGTTTTGGATTAGATATAGTACAATATGGAAAAGAAAAAAAAATAAATAGAGTTGATTAAAACCGATGGTATAGTAGATTGTAAGAGACATTTTTTCACAAGTAATAGTTTGATAAATAATGAGAATTATAATATGTGTAACGTTCTGTAATCATATGAATACGAAATATTGAGTAATAAGGTTGTAAAAATGGACAAAAAAAAAAAGTCAAACTAATAAAGAATAATAAAAATATAAAAACTTGATTAATTCTTCGAAGGAAATTGTTAAAACATGAATATTGGGTCTTCAAATAAGGAAAAATCATGCAAAAAAATTAATGGCCCTCCTCTAATTTTAACCTATTGTGGTTTCAAAGACAGGTTCGCAGAAGACTTGTAAACAAATAAATAAAACAAATACCCTTGCAAGAGTATGGTGATGGTTCGCTGAAGTATCTCCAGTTAACTCCTGTAAATTGTAAGAACGGGGAGAGCAGTGGAATGGTCATGATTATGTTCTCAGGGCCTCCAGCCTCTATCAACAGGACGTTCCAATCCTCGATCTGAAACATGAAAAAGAAAAAATGTTTTTACTAATCACTGCTGCTGGTCACTGCAATATGTGTAATATCAAACAAATAATTTCTATACAAAGCACAAAAATACAATATAACTTTTTTTTTTTTTTAAATCATTCATGAAAATCTTTTCTAATCTTTTTGTCCGAATAAAAATAAAAAATAAATTAATTCTACTATACCAGTATTTAAAAAAAAAGTTAAATTTTTATACTACAAATTCAATAACGTTTTCTTCTCGAATAGTATATCCTTTTTACTATGTAACACATAGTAAGGGAAAGTATTTCGAATCTAAATGTTCAAGAGAAAGACACTTTTTAAAGTCCCCTGAGTCCTAATAACTAAGTCCCACAAGGTCGAAAAGTCGCAGAAAACTGAAATTACTTATTTAAGGTAGGTATATTAAAAATATAGCGTATTTAAGGTTTAAATCAGCTAACGGAAAGTGCCACTTTATATTATCCATTTTACACATATTTACTATTTTCTCAAAAATGGCTCTAATGATTTTGATTAAACTTGGTATACCAAAGTATAGTTAACTGGTCTTAATTATCAACTAGTTCTTATTCTTGTTGATGTCGCTTAAAAGAACTGAAATGCCTAATGTTCGAAATTTATTTTTCTAAAGTAACTTTAAATAGGTTTATTTTAAATGATTAAATATCTCTCATTGTTAGAAGTAATAAAAAAAAAGGCACAATATAAACAATGAAAGAATTTGATAATTGATTAAAAGATAAAAAACGAAAAATGTTTTTCAGTTTTAAAATAAATTTCCGGAAATATATCGTTGGAAAGCTTAGGATTTTAGAAAGCATAATATCTAACATACAAAGTCGTAGAAGACAATGGAGGATTACGAAAACTTTTTAAATACAAAGTTCTAAAAAATAATATTATTTTACGGAAACCAAATGTTTTCATGGAAACTTAATAATATTCCCTAATTAGACGTAATTTTTTTTTATGCTTGAAAAAATGTATATAAGCAATGCCACCTAATAGAGGCAATGAAATTGTATAAAAACTACTTTATTATACTTGTATTAAAGAAGAAATGGAATATAAACATATGTTTATGTATATTTGATTTCAGCATATGTTTCTAACCTTAAATAAATTGGATGTAACGTAACTTTAGATGCGATAATATATTTACGCTATTAGGAATATGTTTTCGGTTTATTCTGAAAAATCATTAAGTAACGTTTAGAAAATTAATTTTTTTAAAATAAAAAAGAAGCTTTGAAATGTAATTCGTTTCTAAAACGGCCCTCAAATAATCAACGATTTTCGGAGATGTGTACTACAAATACGGAATGTCTAAATTTCTTATTTAAAAAATATTGGTTTTGATGTTACCATTTGAATAAAAATTATAGTTTTTCATGTTTCTTGAAAAGTTAATGAATAATTGAAAGGTTTCATTTAGGAAATAAACGAATAGAATCAATAGTATGAGAAGCATGAACTGCCCCTTAAGAGTTTATGATATGCAAACCGTAAAAACCTAACAGTGTCACGGGCTGATCGATGGCTATAAACAAGGCGCTATTAGTTATGAAATCCTAAAACATTATAGATTCTAATTGGAAAGAAATGGACTATTGCAATTAAAATATATTATATATGTCTTTTTATTCACCAATTTTAGTAATAATAATAATAATAATAATAATAGAAAATCACTTTATTCTGCGACAAAGTCCCTTTAGAATAACAAAATAGTACAGAATTAAAATACTATATCTGCCTTAAATAAAACAATAACAAAAGAAAATATTAGTTAAACAAGATATATACAAAAAAAAAATAAATAGATCTATATACAAAACACTTAAAATTATGTACAATAGGAAAAATTATACAGTTTTTAGAAAAAAAATAATAAGAAATACACTGAGTTCTTCTATAAAATAAGCTCTGTATTTCTGCTAACAAAGGAAAGACGAATTTGACAGTATAAAACATGAGTATTCAAAACATCAATAATATGTAAACCCATCATTATCTTATTGTAACTATAGGTACAGATTTAATTGTATAAGAATAAAAAATATTAAAAAAACAAACAATAGATGTATTCAGTGGCATTAAGAGCAGGAAGATGTTTTAATATCCCTAGTGAAGACTAGCAATATATAATAAGCAAATATCTGACTGTTTTTGGGATAGGAATTGGAATATGAAGGTTTTGAATGTGGGTATGGATGGGGAATCCGAATTTTGATAGGTAGGGAATTCCAGAAATTGACAGCTGGAGCAATAAAAGAGTTTTGAAATGAGGTAGTTCTGTGAGAAGGGATGTAAAGGTCGGAAGGTCGAAATCTTGTGGAAAGGAAATCTACTGAGGACTTGAATTGGAGAAGGATGTAGGCGTAAGAAGGACGATGATTGTTGTTTATTTGATAAAGGAACGTACTTAATAATTTCTAAGTATTCTAAGACAATAATTTCTGTCTTCGAAAGGAGGGAAAGAGCCACTGTAACTCAGTGTAGTGGTGAGAGACATGGGAGTATCTCGAGGCACCAAATATAAATCTTCGACAGCTATTTATTAGTCTTTTCAGTCTATCACGGATTTCCACCGAGAGGCCAACATACACCACATAGCTGTAGTAAAAGTGGGTTAGATGAGTCGTTAAGAATGGTTTACAAACAATTTGGATTGATGGATAAGTTCAGATAATTTATTAGGTCAGAATGCCCTTGTATTATTAGTTTGTACTACAGAAAGTCTAAGCGTGTAGCGTTAGCTCAATTGAAGATTTGATTAGTGCATTTTTTTATTATATTTTATTTCTTTGTATTAATTGGCTGATTAAGAGAAGGTCGTCTGACACAATAAATGCAAACCTGCTCGAGAATTTATTCCCCTACCTTCAAAGTACTAGTGACAACTTAGAATCTCTCAAATGACCTAGTCATCAATGCTCGTTAGTCGCGTTGAAAGAAACATTGTCAACAAGCATGATCGATTTTTTTTTTCTTAGTTTAAAGACATGTTCGTTTAAATAAATCTACAACACAAATTGTCCTCAATTACAAATACGTAAATTTGGCGATAAACGTATTGGCTCTGTCGATATCTTTCAATTATGACATTAAATACGATTTCAGAACCTCTTATGAGGAGGAGACTAAAAAGGCGTTGGATGAGAGATCTTCTTTCTTAAACAACCTAAGTAACTGAAGAAAGTCAGGGGAGAGATGCTGCTAAGTACTGTCCTTCCGCATGTCATTATTTCTTGTATTTCAGAAAATTTCCTGATTGTCGACACAAGTTGAAAATAAGTTGAAAATGAGTGAAAATAAGTTGTGGGCGGGGTGGCCGATTGGGCTAAAGCGTGTGCACAGCACCGCGAGTTGTCTGGCAACCGGATTACAGATTTAAGAAGATTTAAAAAGTACGAGTTCGCATCCCGGTGCCGGAGGAGATTTTAAATCCCCCGCCCTCAACCCCCGGCCCGGGAAAATCCCGTATAGCCCAAAAGGCGAGGTAGGGAAGAACAAAAAAAAAAAAAAAAAAGGTGAAAATAAGTATTTAAAAAAAAAAAAACCTTTAATACTATCAAATAATATGTGTCAGTATCAGTATATATTAATATATATATATATATATATATATATATATTAGAATAATAAACAGTTTTTCCATGTATTTTTTTTTTCACTATTTCTTTTTCTTTCCTAGCATTCGATTTCCTTCTTTTCTCTTCTCCGCACACATCCATACATCCATACATACACATCCATCTTACATTTTTTTCCCTCTTCCTAATCTAATTCATACTTTCAAGTGACAAATTACACAATAATGACAATAAAAAAAAATAAACAACAAAAATCGCATAAAAATTAAAATAATTCCTGACGGCCTCTAGACGAAGATTTGCACCATAATAGGGTTGTCAATATGAATAAAATTTTATTAATAGTTTGACTATTAATTTTAATGAAACTATATCGGGTTTGATGGCTTGAACTCAAAATTTGATGAATAAAAATATTAAAAGATAAAATATTTCTTCTTTCCCCAAAGTAATTATCGATATATATCTTTAAAAAAAACCTATCGGGCTGAAACTCTCCCCCCTTCCCACTTCTCCCCTCAAAAAAAAAATTAAATCCTGGATCCGCTAGTGGTAATAACTAAACATAATATTATTTGTAATAAACCTTCTAATTCCTCATTTTATGGCTGGCTTAGAAGAATATGAATTATAATGAAAATTTTGGAAACGGTGAGTTCGTTAAATGGTCATTGCTACCTAAATGATGATATAGGTGCGCATTATCCGAATGACGCTTCATTTTAGGAACCAAATTATCATCCAGATGTAGCGAATCGATTGTCATAAAGATATGGGTTCAAAAAAAAAAAAAAAAAAAAAATGGCAACCACACGCATCATTATAACACTCCAAGATCATTAACTGATAAGTTAATGTCTAGAATCACGTCATTTATAATTATAAATAATGATAGAGACAATATTCCAAACTGAGCCGAATGCCCTTGAATTACGTTAGTAAGCAAATGCGAAATTATTCGGCAAACCGATTAGGATCGTTATATCCTAATTCACGATTATCTAACACCTTATTCGTGCGCGATCGTTTGCTAACTTAACTAGATGCTCGGTTTGAGACTTGAACCCAACCGAATGAATTGAATCTCCGATAGTTTATCGACATTATTTTAATAGTTTATTCCTGAAATAGAAAATTAAGTTATTCAGTAGAATGACTTAACTGACTGAGAGCAGCACCCAAACGAAATTTCAATTAAGAGAGAGATAATCTAATGAAATGCAGTTCATCGGTGCCAACTGCATGTCCATAACTGAATCCTTTATGGATGTAAGATATATTTAACGGTTTTTAAAAAAATAAAAAACACATTCCAGCAGAAATCCTAATTTATCTAACGTTATTGAATACTTCTCAAGTTTTGTTACAGTTTTCTGAATATAAAAT